TGTATTCTTCCAGTGATCACTGCTTCCGTGGCATGGTCAAAACTCAGAGCCACCCAAGCTGTGCCGAGAAGAGCAGCTCCTTAATTGCCCGTCTGAGGTTGCTCATGGGTCCCCACCGCCTGAGCGGAACATGGCTACAGCTTGTTGGTGTCTGGGTCCAACACTCTGCTCGCCCACACCGACTCTTTACGGCCTCGTCTTGTCTTTCAGAGTCCCCCATCTCCACACCCCCTGCTTCTGGCCCTCGGGGTGACAGAGTTGCTGGGGTCTTGGCTCCGCACACTGCCCACTGGCTCCTTGCTGGTCCCCAAGACAGAGTAGAGGGTCAGGTCAGCTTCCCGAATGAAGACCATCACTCGTGAATCGTCCTGGCCGGGCGTTGGAGTGGCTAGCCTCCACCCCTGAGATCCCTGATCCCAGCCATCGGCCTCACGTGCTGCGGCCTCTTCACCCCAACCCTGGACTTACAGTCCCCGGGCCTCTCAGCACCTCATGCTGTCCTCCAGGGACAGGGTCTAAGGATCACCTGAGCAGAAGGCCTGATCCGAGCTCACGCCTCTTTCAGCAGCTGCTGGGGGCATGGGTGCCATGGCCACCGTGTGTTCCTCCCTAGCTGACCCTGGAGGGTGCACCACCAACCCCTGGGTCCCGGGCTGTCCCCAGTACTCACACGTTTCCACCGTGCTCCCCCCAAGATCCCCCTCTAAAAGGGGGCAGAGCAAGGGCACATGGGTCTGCCCCCTTCACGTCGCCCCTAGCCCTTCTCCCTTCCGCACCCAGTCACGGCTGAGAGGGAACTTGCCTTCCCTGTGTCCTGTCCTTGCACCAGACCCGCCTCGTCCTGTGAGGTCCCTAAGCCTCTCTTGAGGACAGCGGGCATCTCCCCTCCACTCTGGGCTCTGGATGTTGGCACCCCAGGGCCAGCTGGAAGTCAGCGGGCAGAGCACAGTGCTGTGGGTTTCTGATGCCAGGGCCGCCCCTCTGCTGAGCTTCTCCTCCATCTGTCCCCGATTTCACCGCCGCCCCCTCTCTCCCCATTGCTATCCCTTCAACCTTTGCTCTGTATCTGGGGCAGCAAACTTGCTCCAGAATCAGCTGTTCTCAAGCATTTTGGCCTCAGAGTCCCTTTACATTCTTAAATTATTGAGAACCACAAAGAGCTTATGTTCATATGGATTATGTATGTCAACATTGACCCTATCGGAAATTAAAACCAGGCATTTTAAAAAATATTCATTCATTCATTCTTTGAAAAATAACAACAGTAAGCCCTTACATGTAATAAATGACATTTTTATGAAACATAACTTTTCCTGAAACAAATAAGACTGGCATGTTCTGTATTTTTGGAAATCCCTTCCACATCTGGTGTAATAGGAGATGGTTGAATTCTCGTTTTGGCTTCTGTTTTGAATGTTTTGTAATATGTTGTTTTGGCGGAAGAATTTGAAGAAAATCTAGCCTCGTACCGATGTGCAGTTGGAAAAATGGGGCATGTTTCAGTAGTCTTCCCAGATGATTTTTTTTTAAGATTTTATTTATTTATGTAATAGAGTGAGTGAGAGAGCACAAGCAGAGGGAGCAGTAGAAGGAGAGGGAGAAACAGACTCCCCGCCGAGCAGGGAGCCCGATGTGGGGCTCGATCCCAGGACCCCGGGACCATGACCCGAGCCGAAGGTAGACGCTCAACCATCTGAGCCACCCAGGCGCCCTCTTCCCAGATTGTGGACGTTGTGCTTTGATACTACATGGGAACCCAGCAACTGGTGATTTCTTCAAGGTAGTTGCACGGTGGGATCTGAACGCATATCAGTGAACTAAAATCCATCGATCTGTCCTATACTCAAAGTGCATCTTGTATCCATGTGAGGTTTTGTCACACCATATACAGTTTCTAAATGGTGACACATTTCATTATGTACCGAAAAAATCACATTGATGACTGTCACGGCTGATCTCATCAGCAGCCTCTAAGTGATGGACACTGTCAAGCTCACGGTGGCAGACATAAATTTCCCAAGGTTCTTCTTTGTGCTCGAAAGCTCGAGTTTTGTCATGGGCCACAAATATTGTCCCTTGTTTTCCTCAAGGTGACGGGCTCACAGTGTTCATTTCTAAGAGAATGTCTGGCAAACACCCCAGTCAGAATAGTTTATCTTCCAGTTGTGCTTTTAAGTAAAAATGATGCTTCGTGAAAAAAAGAAATTCTAGTTCATGTCGGAACTCCAGCAACTGGCTGCTTCCTTACATCGAGACCTCGGTGGTGCTTCAGGACGTAGCAGAAATGCTTTCGGGACGTGCTTCTCATTTCTTCACGTGGGACATTAAAAAGACATGGGCTCAAGGGTCAAGGTTAGTAAGATGAGTAACTGTTATTGTAGCATCAAGGACATGCCTTGAATCAGGACACACTTCATCGAAGACATGCTCTTTGCCTTTGTGACAAATACCGCAAAGACTACTGGTCCGGTTTGTACCTCTGCCTTGACCCATGCCAAGGTCCTAGCTGTTTGGCCGCCATTGCTTCTCCACGAGTACAGGAGAAATAACATCTTGGAGAAGAGAGGGAACATCTCAGCATTGTTACTAAAATAGTTTTGACCTTGTGGAGCCTCTTAAAGGGTCTTGAGAACCTCCAGAGGTCCCTGGACCACACCTTGAGAATCACTGTTCTAAATCGTGGGACGTAATATGTACAGCGGTAATTCTGGCCCATTGTCAGTTTCCATCCCTTCCCATCTTTTTTTGGACCATCTCTCCTCCACCTCAGTGAGCATAGCCTAGCCTGTGGTCCTTCCATCTCAGCCTGGTTCCTTCTTTATCTCCTCCTCTCTCTTCATCCCAGTTAGTGCACCAAGCATGCTTGTTTCAAGTCTTCTTCTGGTTCTGACAGTCGATCACATTCAGGGTGTCTTTTCTTCCTGGGGCTGACTTGAACTGATAGCTGCATGTTGGGCCTTTGCCTGCTGATGCCGCCATCGTGGAGTGACATCTGGTCGACCCAGTGTTTGCAACAGGCAGGGTGTGTGGATTGCTCTGGCCCCCCTCGCCTCCTCCCTGTGCGGCTCCAGGTGGGGGTGATTGCCCCTGAAATATGTCAGTGTCCAGCCGCCACCCACGCGGCTCTTATCTCAGATGACTTCCGGCCCCGGGATGCGGTGTGTATCCTACAGGTCCTCATCCTTCTTCCTGCCGGGCTGGGGGTGTGGTTTTGCCTGGATGCAGAATGAGGGGCACTCACTGGGAGAGAGGTGAAGGGGTGGCCTCTAGATTTTCTGGCTGATGCAGATATTGTCTGAGGGGAAATGGAGGAGGTTAGGCCCTCCCCACCTGGCTCCAAGTGCCTATGCTCCCGGGCTCGGGGCAAGGATGTCAGCGCAGCTTTATCCGTGGATGACAGCTCCCCAACCCCCCGGATTGCTGCCAGCACAAGGTCGTGTTTTCTTGGTTGTCCAAGCTGAGACGAGAGTTTCGTTTGTGGGCCCGTGTTCCAGAGTGTTTGAACAACGAGCGGGTAGCGGGAAATCAGTGAAGTGCAATCAACACCACTTAAAACCGGGAGTAGTGTTCCAGAGCTTTCTAGAGGTGCTGCCTCGTCTCCCGCCTCCACCACGCTCTGGGGTGTCCCCTTCAGAAACCACAGGCGCCGAGTTCCTACAGGACAGTGGCATCCAGGGTCTGTCATTAAGAATGGAGTTAAGTGGATCTCATCAAAAACCAAAAATATTGCATTTTGCAGACATTCTTAAAATCCAGAATGGATGGAATGTATCCATGATGTGGAGGGGACATTTCCCAGTCGGTTCAATTTGGCGAGCCCACAGGAAGGTCTGGGGGGACCGTGGATTTCCCGGGACATCCTAGTGCTGGATGTTTCCTGCGGCAGACACCCTCCAAACCAGACCATTGCAGCCTTGCTCTGTGGGAACAAACGTGAGGCGGCGGGGGGGGGGGGCAGCTCAGCTTTCTCCCCTGCTGGAAGGGACCCAAAAACTGTTTGCGAGGAGATGCCTCCCGTCTTTGCCCCCAGGACACTTGTGGCCTCCTGGGGAGAGTGCAGTGACCCATCACTTTCTCAGTAGGGTGCCAGCCCAACCCCCACTTCCCTGGTGTCGTCCTCTGCCCAGAGCCCTTAGCTCAGGCCAGCGTGCAGAGCAGGGCCTTATAGAGAGGAGCACAGCCTTTTGCCCTTGTAATGAGCTTTAGCTCTGCCTTCTCTGTGGTTTCTGTGGCAGCTCTGACCAGCCCGTGAACTACCTGGATTTTTCTCTCTTCTCTAACCTCCTCTTAAACAATAGAGTGGGCAACAGATTGGGGTTGGGAGTAACCATGTGACCTGACCAGGTGCTCCCCCAGGACCCTACCTGGCCCTGGCCCTGCTGGGCTCCCCAGAGCCACCAGCCTCACCCCCTCCAAGGAAGGTGACTGCAAGCCCACCCTCATCCGGGGAAACGGGGTGCTGGAACACAGTCTCTGAGCTCCGGGCTGTGCATCAGAAAAGTTCCAGGCTCCGTCTCAAAGCTAGAGTTCAGGACCTCTGTGCCTCCTCTCTCCATTCTGAGTTAGGTGGTGCGGGCAAGCGGTGACAACAGTCCCAGCCTGTGATTCTGAGACTTGATGGGTCGTGGCCCTTTGGCACTGGATAAAAGTCACAGGCATGCAGCTTGGAAAAATGTACGATTGTAAAGAGTCACGGAAATGTTTAAATGCAACTTCATTTCTATAAAAATAAGGTGTTTCAATTCCAGCCTACCCAAACTGCACATTTGACCCCAATTTGCTGGGCTTCCCACTTGGGAAAGAGTGGGGGCGTGGAGGTGGCTCTGCAGATGGTGAGGGCTGCCTGGGAGTGCCTTGACCTGTTTTCTGTATATGAGAAAGTTCCTGTGTGTGTGTGTGTGTGTGTGTGTGTCGCACACACATGCATGCAAACATTTAAAACCTGTTGCAAAAATAAGGCAGGTGTCTCATAGATTCCTTGTTTCTGATATTTTCCTAAGGGGGTTGAAGGGCCGGATTAAGAAGGAGAGTTCCCAGAGGGAGCTGCTTGCGGACACGGTGCACCTGAATGAGACCCACTGTGCCCACTGCCTGCAGCCCTACCGGCTCCTTGGGACCCCCAGAAGGCAATGCCTGGACTGCCGCCTCTTCACCTGCCAAGACTGCAGCCACGCCCACCCGGAGGAGCCCGGCTGGCTCTGCGACCCCTGCCACCTGGCCAGGTGATCCACGGCCTGGTGTCCAAGGGACCCTGGGGTGCTAGGGCCCGATGTGTCCCCTCCCCCAACCCCAGTGGGGCTGGCTGAAGAAGGGTGGGCACGGATGTGCGCCACCTGGCACAGCGCCGCGGGCCTGAGCTCGGTGTCTCTGCAGGGTTGTGAAGATCAGCTCCCTGGAATGGTACCACCAGCACCTGAGAGCCCGCTTCAAGCGCTTTGGGAGCGCCAAAGTGATCCGCTCCCTGTGCAGACGGCTGCAGGGGGGAGGTGAGGAGCGCACCTCTCCCCGGGGTCACTTTTTGTTCCCACGCCTGTTTTGGGTTTCACGACCAAGCAGATCCTTTGGAATGGGTGTGTGCCCCTGTCAGTCCCTTTCGGGTGTTTTGTACGACGTTGGCCACTCTCTGGGTAGTGTGAATTTCTGCACACCCCCGGCCTGGCCCCCTGGGAAGTCCTGCATGCTGTTGACAGCCCCACTATTTGAAATCCTATTTTTCAAGGCTTCCTAGCAGGTTGAGAACTCATAGCTAAGGTCTCAAACTCAGTGGCTAGTCGAATAACCAGGCGCTGGTTAATACAACTTGTTCTCCAGGCCCTTCCTCCCTGGGCGTCTGATGTGGGGCCTAGATTTTCTCTTTCCAACAAACATTCCCTGTGCGTCTGATGGGCCGAGGGGTCTTCCTGCAGCTGGAGGAGCTGGTCTGGCCCCACCACAGGGCTCAAGGGTGAGAACCACAGGGAGCAGGGCGGAAAGCCACACCGCAAAGTGTTTAAGAATCTCGACCCCAAAGGCGGCCCTGTTCCCAGAGGCCACGTTGGAACCCCTGAGGACCTGACCTTGCTCTGGGAGGTGCCGATTCCAGGGACCAGGTGGGCTCAGGAGTCTGTGTTGTGTGAAAGGCTGTGGGGATCGTGATGCCCAGCCAGGGTCCAGAGCTGCTGGGGCCAGCACCAACCAACCGGCACCTGCCCGTTTCAAAGTTGTCACCACCGAGGACCACAAGGTGGCGCTGTGGGGCAACAGGAACCCCGACTCCCAGCCGCTCCACCTGGGCCCCTGGGTTCTGTGTTCTGGGGTGATGCCCAGGCTGAATTCTCCCTGCGGGGCGCCTGGAAGACAGAGGACGCAGGGAAGGAAAGTTCCATGTTTGTTTTCAAGTAGACAAACTGAAAAAATAGAAATGACTGAAGTCACTGTTTTGAAGCCTGGCCAGCCAGGGCCAAGGGCAGACTGGTCAGCTGGGGTGAGGGTGGCGGGCGGCCCGGGTCTTCTCCAGGTGAACCTGCAGAGCAGTGGGGGTGTTTTGCCGAGGCCCCCACAGCAGGACGGGCAGACGCTGCGGGAGGCGGTTGTCCAAGGCTGGGAAGGAAATGAGAGGAAACCCGTCCTCAAGCGCGGTCTCGGGAGGATGTCTTTCTCCCCAGTGCCTTTCCTCTGGTTCCAGGTTTACCTGACAGAGCGCGAAGCTTGCCTGACATCCACAGTAAGTCCTTGGTGCTCACAGGGGTTCGTTCGTGTTTCTTTCCACCTCCCTGCCAAGAGCGGCTGAGAACTCTCTCCCGTGTCAGGAGCAGGGGACATCCTTTGGGCTTGCTCTTGAGAGATGGGTTAGTATCTCTCAAACTGCTGTCCCAAGTGGAGAGAGATGGAAGGAGTCCGTAACCAAAAGGGCCACAGAGCTCCTGTTCCTGTTCAGTCCTGGGGGCAGCTCACTGACAGGCCACGTGCACACATGCACACCCCCACACACACATGCACACACAGGCGTGCACCCCGGGCCTCCGGGAGCCATGCCCACATTCCCTCGGTGCAGGTAGAGGTCAGCTCAGTGTCTTCTGTCTGGTGGTTTGGGGTGAATTTCCTCAAGACTCACTGTCCAGAGAATGAAAATAAGCACCCAGCCTGCCCGCTGCATGGGTCCGAGTTCGGGGGATACAGAAGGGCTTACAGAGCACATTCAAGCCCAGTAAATGCCCTGCTTGTTCACGCTTGAGACCTCCCCCCACCCAAAGGCACAGGGAGTGAGGGCCTGGGCGCGGGCTGGGGGTGTGCAGGGGCAGCACATGCAGGCCCAGCCCCACAGCCCGTGCTCCCCCAGTGCAGGAGTGGCCTCGTGGCCCCGAGGGAAGGCCGATGATCCATGCTCTAAAACCCCAGAGCTCATTGCCTGGACCCCTCTGGTGACCTAAAGGAGAACAGGGGCCAGGCCAGTGGGAGAGCAGAGGGAAGAGGCTGTGATGGGGCCACCTGGGTGCTCAGGTGAGGCAGGGGGCCTGGGGGGCAGAGAAAGGAGGGGCAGGAGCCCTGGGGCTGAGGCTCACCTCCTTCCCAGCTATGTCTGCAGCCTGCATATAAGCACATGAAATGACTGTAAGTAAAGCAGTTTGTTTGAGAAAACATGACTTTGCCCTTGGCCTCCTTCACCCACCACAAGGCCGGGGATACAGATTGCCCAAGAAACAGTCCATGAACAGAGGGTGAATGCCTATAGGCGTGACCCTCGACAAAATTGATACAGAGTAATAGTTTTCTGCTGGGATTCAGACCGAGTCTAACTGATGCTTGGATAGGTCTTTGTAAAGCCAGCAGATGGCCTTGCCTGGATGTGTCACAGTGGGTGGATGGATGGATATGTGCATGCAGAATGAATGAGTGAGTAGATGGAAGGATGGAAGGAGGATGGATGGATGGATGGGGAATGAATGAATGGGTGGATGGATGGATGGATGGAAAATGGATGAATGGGTGGGTGGGTGGATGGAAGGAGAATGGATGGATGGATGGATGGATGGGGAATGAATGAATGGGTGGGTAGGTAGATGGATGAATAGTAGGTAGGTAGGTGGGTGGGTGGGTAGATGGGTGAACAGACAGGTGGTAGATGGGCGGGTTGGATGGTTGGATGGGTAGGTGAGTGGGTGGATGGATGGTTTGCCCCCAGTCTTCTTCACCCTAGGTTGAATCATGTGCGTGGTCCATTGCAGGGGGGCCTGAGCCAAGCCTTGGTGAGGGAAGTGGAGACAGTGAGCAGACAGATGAGGATGGAGAACTGGACATAGTGGCCCAGGCCCAGCCCGTTGGCAGCAAGGTAAGTCTTCCCCAGTCACCTCTGCCCCTGCCCCTCCCCCAGCTGGGGCCTGGGGTTCTGATGTCCTAAAAATCTCAGTACTCTCCTTGACTCTACCCGTTCCCACAGCGTGAGCAGAAAGACCCTGCCTCCTTTGCCATGCCCGGACAGTCTCTGAGACACTGAGCACCAAATAGGATCATGCTTTCAGCACCTGGTGTCACCATAAGAAACCCCAAAGCAAGCTGTGGGGGAGACAGAGCCTGCAGGGAAGCCTGCCCGACCCGTCCAGTCAGGGTCCTGGGGGCAGGCTCGTGAGGTTGTGAGGGCAGGCAGGGCTCTCAGAGGGCACCCTGCTGTCCTCCAAGGTGGCCTTGGCATCTTTCAGGGAAGTGAACCCCTTTAGACTGCCCTCTATGAACATTTTACTTTTCTTCATAGCCAGCCACGAGCCTTGCTTTTATTAGTGTTTATTTCCGTCTTTACTTATTTTGTAACTTATTTTTGGTGATCAACAAGCAGAGTATGCCCCGGGGTTTTGCGGGGGGATGACGGAAGGAGAGCAGGTTGGGGTGGGGGGCACAAGTTTAGTTGGAGACCCCGGGAGGAGGCCAGCGTCCTTGAGATTCGACACCAGCCAGGTCTGGCCAGTCTACAGTGAGAAAGTTGTATTCCTGCCACTCAGTGAACTTAAAGAATACTAGCCAGTGTCTGGAACATTCCCTAAACAATACCTTTAAAGGATCAAGATTATCATGAGGGAGGATTTCATCTGAACAACATGGAGCTCTCCCCCACCTCGTGGCCTCACTGTGGGTGCCCCTCATTCGCCTGAACTCCCCCTGCCGACACCTCCCAAGGGTACCTGTCAGCCCTAGAGAAGACTGCCCGTCCTCCCCACCCCTCATCCCAAGGCTGCAGTGCTCCGGGACCTGTGTCCTTAGCACATCTGAGCAGCCGTAGGCCCCTCGGGCTGAGCAGGTGTTTCCTTCTGCTCTAAGAGATGCTGAGGATGCAGCTCTTGCAGGGGATTCGGAGAGGGAGCCCTCTGGGCCCCTTGAAGCTGCCTTCGAGCTCCTTCGGGTTTGTTTCTAGTGCAGGAGGTGGATGTGCCCCTGGAGGCATCCACCCTGCTGCCCGGGGCTGAGAGGGCCCTGGTCGTCTCTGTCAAGCTGACCCCGACTCTCGTCCTCTTGCCCACATCTGCACCTGCTAAGAAAAAGCGCCTCTCCATTCACGACTTGGACTTTGAGGCAGACTCCGATGACTCTACTTGGTCTGGCAGTCACCCTCCGTATTCGTCCCCAGTCCCAGCGGCCACAGACAGCCTACAGGTCAGTGGGCTCTGGTTTCTGCCCCCGTCCTTCCCAGGATAACCTGAGCGACAGGCACTCAGGCCCCAGGTGGGGGACGGCGCTCCAGGAAAGGGTCCAATGGCCATAGCAGGCATCAGGGCATGCCAGGCCAGGGGAGAGCTGGGGTGGGGGCACAGGATCCAGAAGCTCCCACGCTCCCCATCTCTGCAGAGATGGGTCTGGCAGCTTGGAGAAGGGGAGTGCGGGATGGGAGCCCAGGCTGGACAAATGAGGGGCCAGGGATCTGGGCCGGCTGCTTGGCCCAGAAGTAAGGCTTCTACCCTGTGGTTCAGGAGGGCAGGCCAGGGAACCGGCGTCTGCCCTGGACTCGGGGCCCGACATGTGCCTGGGCGTCCGACTGGTGGGTCCAGGCCAGAGCGGGGGCAGGGATGCATCTGCCCAGGCTGATCCACAGGCCAATTTGGGGGGAGGACAGCAGGGCAACGGTCTGGCACTGCAGTGGTCTTTGGGCCACAAGCCTGCTCCCCCTTCAGGACCAGCCCCTGCGGCCTCCAGGGCCTGAGGACTGCTTCCTTCCTGCCCCCCTCAAGCTGGAAAGGAGCTGGGGCATGTGGCTTCCAGAAGACCTCAGCGCCTTGTTTCCTTGGGGACGAGGGCACAACAGCGAGAACCCTCTGCCCGCCTGAGGAAGGGTAGAGGAGGAAGTGCTGGGGTTGCAGCCGAGGGGCCCCCCGGGAGCCCTGCCCACACCCCCTCTTCCCTTTCTGGGAGTATTAAGGTGCATGCAGTTAGAACAATGCCCCCCCCAAAAAATAACTTCCCGATCCACCTCCTCAGGGCTTCAGTCTCTAGGTGGGTCGGAGCCCCCAAGACTGGCAGATGTGTTCCCTTGTATGATGAGTGGCTCAGGGTCTCGGGAGCCCCAGCCTTCCACGGACGCGTGATACAGAGTAGGCAGTAAATGGCTTTCAGCAGGATTTCTGGAAGTAAAGGGAACTGAATTGCAAGGGGCCAGAGCTGCGGGGTGTCTAGCGTTTGCTCAGTGATGTCTGGAAACCCTCCAGACTGGGATGGAAAGACCACATGCCAAGGAGCTGTAAAACCTAGTAATACCTCACGCACCTGGCAGGTCCCGTGTGCTCAGGCCTTCACAGATGAACCCCATACAAAGGACACCTCCCCGGAGGCCACGGTCCTGGAGGAGGCCAATGTCAGCGCCTCTCGGTGCCATCCCTGTCCAGAAGAGCAGATGGACGGCCTCTCACCTGAGGGACAGGACACCCTCACTGAGCTCTACATCCCTGGACAGTCGTGCACGACAGCCCCACGGACTCCTGCCACAGCCGGTAGGTCCGTTGATGGGCTCTGCGTGAGGGAAGGGGTCCATGGAAAACCCGTCCACTGCCCTGATTTGTGCAGACATCCTGGCCGATTGATAGCAACCCCTTCCTTCACCGCATTGTCCAGCATGTGCGGTCCTGGTAGACGCCATCCACACCTCCTCCCTGCCCCCCAGGCTGGGTGCTGCTCTTGCAACACTCAGAAGTCCCAGCATTAGCGCCTCAGTGGCCACACAGCTCGCTACCGGCTGCAGGGAGGGTACTGAGCTGGCTTGGGGTAGGGACATGCAGGTGTCCCTGAAATGATTAGGATCACTGGGCACCTGGACCAACCATCCTGAACAAAGGACAGGGCAGGTCCAAGCCTGGGGACTGACGCTGTACCTGGGGACCCATAATACACTTGGGGATGGACGGTACACTTAGGGACGGGTGGGGCAGGTTCTCTTTGGGCACTGCTTCCCCTGGTCCACCACCAGCTCCCAGCTTTGAATCTCGAGGTCTGCAAGCGCAGAGAACCTAGACTTGCTCAGTTTAATTTTGTTGTCAGACAGTGTGCTTCATAATGAAATCCTGAATTGCTGTCTTTTCCTGTGCCCTGTGGGGGTGGGGGTTCAGGAGTTCAGACACCCTACGGATGCAGGAGCAGATGAGACCACGGAGGCAGCCCGGCCCTCCCGCTAACGAGCCCCCACGTGGCCACCGCGTGGGGCCGGCTGCCGGGAAAAGTGGTTAAGACACTGTCTGCCAGGAAATCAGTCCCCTCTCTGTTTTTCCTTCTCATTATATTATAGGAACCGTAATCTCATGGTCCACAGGCTGATTAGGATGCTGGAGGCATTTTGGGAGGAACATGGGGCTTTAATTCCCCGTAAACAGTGAATAAATGAATCTACATTGAACAAGTCCTGGGACGGGGACAAACGGGGACGTGCACAGACTCCGTGCCCGCCCCACCGTGATCCCACGCCACCCTGAGGACGCGGACAGGGCGGCGGGCGGGGAGGGAGAGGCTGAGGGAGACCGCGTTTCTGACCAACCAGCACAGTTTTCACCTCATCCCTTAAACTGGGAGCATCTCACGAGGACATGTAGGAGTTTGACGGGTAGCGTTGTCTAAAGATGCATCAGACAACCCGCAGGTGCGCCATCTGAGGTTTGGTGGAACGTGGCATGCCGCTCGATCCACCTGCTTAGCCACTGTGATTCACGTTCTCCTCACTGTGAAGAGGGCTTCGTGCCTATTGTGCGGCTTGTTGTAGACACTAAACGAGATCATAGCATCGCAAACCTACCGGCTTAAAACAGCGCACCTCCATCCTATCTATCCCTGTGGCCAGGAGCCGGGGCGCGGCCTCACTGTGTGCTCAGCGCGCGGGCTCCCAGGCTGAAACCAGCAGGGCCCGGGGCTAGAATCCCACTGGAGCTCAGGGCCCTCTCCCAAGCTTGCTCAGGTGTTTGGCAAGACTCGCCGAGCCAGTGGGGCCTGGTGCCGTTGGGGACAGAAGAGGCTGTGCCCAGTGACTCCCTGGTGCAGGAGCTCCCGTGTGGTCAGCCCCGGCCGCACCTCCTTCCCCCTCCACGTCCCAGGGTGGTGTGTGCGGCGCCGTCCGGGCTGCCTGGAGCCCTGGGGACCTTTGGTGAGGCCATGGGGATAGTAAGCTTCCCCCCCTCATCTGGAGCCCAGGATGAGCACTTCCAGGCACATTGTGGATGACTGGGATCCACGTAATGTCAGGCATGAGAAAAAGCCCGTAGAGACCAATGTGGAAAGACTTGCCAACGTCCCCTCCACTCACAGACACTCCCCGGGCCCCGCATGGGCCACACTCCGGTACACGGGTTCCGGTGGTGGAATGCGGTGCGCTCTGATCCTCCCACCAACCATGTACCTCTCTGCTCCCCTGGCCCCACCGAGAGTGCCAGGCAGGGGCCTGGTTCCTGAAGCTTCCGTGTGAGGGCTTGCCATTGCTCCGTTCCCACTTGGATCTGAGGTTCTCGGCTCCCTCCCCTCAGGGGGCTGTAATCACGTCTGTGGTTTCCCTCATCTCTCGTTCCCCATTATTGGGAAAAACGTGTCCACTGGCCTCCAGCTTTTCGCTCTAAGTAACTTGATCCCACTCTCACTCCAAAGGGACGAGTGCCATCGGGAGTGAGCAGCTCCCCTCCCGGTATCTGGCCGCCGTGGACACCTCCGATGACGAGAGCACCCGGGCCCCCAGCGCGGCCTCCTGCCATTCCGGACGGAGAGGCCGCTCTCCGTCCCAGAGCCAGGTAAGGCAGCTGCGAACCGTTCCTTCTTACTGCTGCTTTGGGTGGAGCCTTTTTACCTTCACGCCGAGTCATGTCAGAGAAATCAAAGCTTCCAGTACTTTAAAACTGCACGTTTGCCCAAGCCTATGTAGCAGACGTGCATGTGATATCTTCAAAATAGCCACTGTTCTATCAGCGTGAAATTCACAGAACATAAAATTCAGCGTCCTGAAGTGGACATTCACTCGCACTTAGTACATTCACAGCGTTGTTCTTCTATTGGTCCCCAAACGTCATCGGCCCAAAGGGAAACTGATCCTGTGAGCAGTCGCTCCCCGTCCCCTCCCTCCAGCCTTGGGCAGCCGCCAGCCTGCTTCCTGTCTCCTGGCTTCGCCTGTTCTGGGCATTGCGTCTAGACAGAAGCGTTCGCCACATGACTTCCGTGCCTGGCTTCCTGCACGCAGCGTCACGTTTTCGAGGTTCGTCCATATTGTAGCTCGTGTCAGTGCTTGATTCCTTGGATGCAAATACTTTATCCTGGATCAAGTATTCTGTCATTGACAAGAGAAGGAAATACTCCATTTTTTTATACCTTTAGTAGACGTTATGCAGGTTTTAAGAAAATTTAACTTAGAATATGTAACACCTGTTAAAGTAGTGCGACTCCCTCACATTGCAGACCCTGATTTATGACCTAAACCACAAGGTTCCTCTGAGTACCCCGGGTTCCCTTTACTGAATTTAAACCGTGGTCCTGCTTACAGACAACTGATTTAGGGCTGAGCAAGTACACTTTACTGGGGGAAGACAACAATGCTTCGTACGAGGACAGCATGACCACTAGGCTCATACAGACTCACCAAAGACCCGGGTCAGGCCCAACTCCTACGGAGGAGACCCTGGGATTGGGGCCATCTGTAAGTGAGCAACTGGAAGCAGAAAACCAACAGGAGGGCCCCGCTCTGGATGGAGAATCCCGGACGTAGCTCAGCCAGAAAAATGTGAAAATGTCTCAGGCACATTTTCAGGAGCTGGGACTGATGCAGGTTCCAATTCATGGCACAGAGCTCCTCCCGGGACCCTCCCCAGGGAGGTTTGAGGGGTGGGGGATGCACCTGGGGAGCCTCCCTTCAGGGGACCCAGGGGCTGAGCTCTGGGCTATCAGGTGGAAGGACTGACCGATGTTGAGCGTGGGGCCTTCCCCAGCCCCTTACCCCTCTGTGCACTCAGACAACCCAGGGGGAGCAGGTCTCACACAGCCACAGCCCACACCACCAGCTAAAAGTCCTGGCTGTCACTCCACCAGCACGGCCCACAGCCGTCAGTGACCAGGAGAGCTGCCCAGCAGGGCCCAGGCTTTGCTGAACTCTGTCCCCAGCAGCAGATGTACCCGCACGGGGTAGGACCTGCACGAGGCAGGGGGGTGCCGGCCGCTCCCTAGTCTCAGCTGACGTAGGAAAGGTCAGAGGCTCTTCCAACCTCCATCCTCTCGCCGAGCCCCAGGAAATGATCTGCCAAAAACAAGCAGCAGACCTGTAGAAGGAGCCCTTCCTTGCATGGCTTTTGAGGAATCGGTGTATGTTTTTTGTTTTAAAATTGGGCTCAACAATGTCAGCAGAACAGAAATGTGGAGTCTCTCGCTCCCCAGAGTCAGTGCCCTCAGGCACAGCTGACTCTGGTTCCTGGAATGCCACGCAGAAGCTTCCTACAGCCAGCAGGCTTGAAGTTCTCTGTGCCCACCCTCCGTCTCTGGAAGAAGTGCACTCTCCCTCTGCCCTGAGCACAGCAGGGTGTGAAAGGCCCTGAGAAGGTCTGCAGTGAAAGCCATCTACTATTCTGCACCCAGGGTGGCTCACACTTCTGAGGGCCTGAACCCCCTTTTACGGAATAGCGAGGAAAACACTCCGCAGGAAGGTGACCTTTGATCAGACCAGGGCTCTGTGTCCGGGAGGGCTGGGGGACGGCGGTGCAGGGCCGGTGAGACCAGAGCCACGGCTGGCAGAGAAACCCCCAGTCAGAAGACGGCAATAAAGACTAGAAGTGTCTATTCTCAGCAAGTTTTTTTTTTTTTTTTAAAGATTTATTTATTTAGGGCGCCTGGGTGGCTCAGTCGTTAAGCGTCTGCCTTCGGCTCAGGTCATGATCCCAGGGTCCTGGGATCGAGTCCCACATCGGGCTCCCTGCTCCGCGGGAGGCCTGCTTCTCCCTCTCCCACTCCCCCTGCTTGTGTTCCTGCTCTCGCTGTCGCTGTCTCTGTCAAATAAATAAATAAAATCTTTAAAAATAAAAAAAAAGATTTATTTAATTATTTTGAGAGACAGAATGACAGAGAGAGAGAGCACGAGAGGGAAGAGGGTCAGAGGGAGAAGCAGACTCCCCACTGAGCAGGGAGCCCGATGTGGGAGTCGATCCCAGGACTCTAGGATCATGCCCTGAGCCGAAGGCAGTCACTTAACCAACTGAGCCACCCAGGCGCCCCTATTCTCAGCAAGTTTTTAATTTAACAACTTTAGTAACTTTCAGTAAAATACATGCCCTGGCATCTAGCCCTAGTGGTACCCACCATCCTTCCTGCCTCCTTGAACGACTCCCTATTTCATGCTTAGAGCCCATCTCCGACTCCACCTCTACCAGCATCTCACCCGGCATGCGCCCCTCGCATCTTTGTGTAAAGGCAAGTGGGCCGCAGGCCCGGTGCACCAGGGAAAACCCAGGGCAGACTCTTACAGGGGTCCCTGCGAGGGGCCGCGGCTCCGTGCTGCCGCTCAGCTCCTGCCTCTCCTCCAACCCCAGATGAGAATTCCAGTTCCTTGTCTTGGGGTGCTTTTCTTTCTCACTCGGGGGGTGACATTTGACAGTGACCGTGTCGGGGGGTCTGCCGTGGCGGCCACATGTCCTTTGCACACCGTGCTCTCCGGGAGACAGAAGCGGTCTGTGCACACTCCTGCAGCCTGGTATCGATCCCCACCTCTCCGCCCAGTGCAGCCAGAGGGGGGCTCAGTTACCAGCAGCCGCTCCGAGTCCTCACCGAGACCGTCGTGCTGACGTTTCTCAGCTTCCTGTTCTTCTTGGGGCAGATTGGCCCACTCGAAGCCTCGGAGCTGTGAAGATCAATCTTATTAACCATCAAACAAGGCAAAAGCATCTTCCCGCCCCTCAAGGGCCATTCCCCTTTGAAAAAGGTGAGCCACAGATAATGGCAGGAAAGACGTACCTGCTGGGCTTGGAAGAAGATGGAAGAATTGATTTTCTCGGGTCTCGGTCTGGGCGCTAATAGACTCTGGTGACTCAGCGAGAGAGGAAGTTGTAATTTTAGTCACTTGAGGTTGTTACCTGGCACCTCCTGGCCCACAGTGACCCAAGGCTTTTGCCAGCTAATGACTTTTGGTTCGAGCAGCCTGACATCATGAACAGGCGCCTTCCCGTGCTGATCAGGAGCTGCGGTGACAAGACAACAGCTAGCCCTCGGTCATGACGTATCATCCCTTTCAGATTCAGCTTCCTTGCTCACTGAATTTGTCAGCTCTTCTTCTGTGCTCACCCCCTTACCCTCTCTTCTGGTGCCACTCCCATGTTTCGCTTGGTATTCTAGAACTCTTGGTGTCAAAATGGGCTTCACGCTCCCTCCCCAGGTCATGTTACAGATCACGGCCTTAGCTTTCCTTCCAGTGCTTGGGAATTCGGTGCTTCTGCGGTGATGGGTCCCAGATTCCTGCCGGTGGCTTTGTCCTCCGGCCAGTCCCTCGGCTTGGGGACCCCATTTAGGGTCAGAGGGAAGAACTGTCCTCCCATGGTAATAGTGTCCACAAGGGAAAGCTCAGTGTCTGGTTCACAAAAGGTGGGTCTTTGGCCTGGGTGGCGACAGGATCGCCACGAGTGCCCCACCCTGCAGAGCCCAGTTCCTGAGGGCCGGGACTGGTCCCAGCACGGGCACTGCGGGCAAGCTCTTCTGGAGAAGGGGTGGAGACTTCCCCAGAGCCCTGCCTCTGAGCATGGTGCACACGGATGACCAGCTGAGCGCAGATCTGTTTGTTGGTTTCAGTGTCTCACCAGCTACGAGCCCACAGATGCCGACAGAGAAGAAGAGACCCTCAGGAGGAAGCTGGAGGAGCTGACCAGCCACATCAGTGACCAGGGGGCCTCATCCGAGGAGGAGGAGAGCAAGGAGGAAGAGGCAGACCTGGACAGGAGCCCCTCCATCAAGGACCTCCCCGGGGCAGCCCCGGAGGTGAGGCCGCCCGAGTGGGCTCGGCAGGGCCTGGGCAGAGGTGGGCCCAGGAGGCAAGAGTTTGTGACTAAGCCACTGGCCCACCCCAGGCAGCCAGCCAACGCCCAGTCGGCCCTGGGTGCCAACAAGAGCTGCATGGGATGCTTAACCCTCGGCCGGCCAGCTGGTCAACCAGCCCCGAGTTCAGAAGAAAGAGTGTCATAGGATGGGCCCGTCTTGGGGAGGGCCCTGACGTCTCTCCTGCTGGCGGTTATGTTCCGTGCTTCCTTCTCTTAGGTGAGCGTGGCTGCCGGCCAGGCGTACAGACAGGAAACCACCCCCCAGGACCCTCAGGACCTCGTGCAGCCCGGCAGGACCACAGACAAGGAGCTGCTGGAGCTGGAGGACAGAGTGGCCCTCACGGCCTCTGAGGTTCAGCAGGTGGAGAGCGAGGTAGCACCAGGCCCAGGGGGTGGGGGGCTCCCCAAGTGGAATCATGGTGGGCCCTGAAGTTCTGGAGGCTGTGGACAGCCTACCCGAAGCTCCAGAACAGGAGCTTGAGGGTTTCTGTGGGAATTGCCCATCCCACCACCCCTGTCTTCATCCCATTCACCTTGGTGAGAGGCAAGCAGCGTTTTCATCCCTACAGGAATGATGTTGATGCTTACCCCTCTCTGTCCCAGGAGGAGGGGGCTTCTTCAGAAGCAGGCTTACGTCTGAGGACAGCCCTGGGGCTCAGGACCAGACTCTGACACAAGGGCCATCCTGTGAGCCCGAGTGTGGGTCCAGGACTTGAGTTCGCGTGAGGGCTGTATCAGTAGCGTATAAAGGTCAAAGGACAGAGCTAGGGTCTCTCAGGGACAGCCGAGGTGACTGGGCTCTGCTCTGCCCTCCCCTTGGGGACCCCCAGAGAAGAGAGGGTCTGCCCCTCAGGCTGCAAGGGGAGCCAGCACCCACGGCCTTTTCTCGCTTCTGCTCATCATCAGGTGCCCACTGGGAGTAAGGAGCGTGTCTCCAGAGCTGTGCTCATTAGGGGGACAAGCCAGCCCAAAGACTTTGCGTTCTTTTATTCCTTCTTGCTCGGCAAATGATTCCAAACTCCTGAAAATGGCAGGACACAAAAGACACAGCTGTCGTATTCTTAGATGGAGCCCCTGCCTCCATGGAGCTTACGCTTTCGTGGGAGGAGATAGAGGACAAGCCAACGACCAAGGAGCTCAGTTCTTGAAGCAAGCTGGGCAAACAGGAAGTGAGGGTGGCTCAGTGGAGCCCCCAGGCGGGCTGCTCAGGAAGGGATATTACAAGAAGAAGGCAGCACACATGTGTAAAGGTCCTGGGGTGGTCTTGAACTTGGTTGTTCAGGAAGGAGCAGTGAAATCCTGAGCCTGGGGCAGAGGGAGTAAGGGGGAGAGGGTTGGAGGCAGGTCCAAGAGGAGGGCAGAGTCTAGAGAGCCATTGGAGGGATCAGAACAGGGGTGATGGGGCCTTGTTTCTGTTTCCAGAAGTTTCCTCTGGCTGCTGTGGCGGCCAATTTAAAATGATGTCAGGAAGACAGGCTCTGCCAGATGCCAGCCAAGCCTTTGCCCAGAGTGTAGCCCCGTCCCTTAGAGCTATGGTGACACTGCCCCCCCCCGCCATGCCTGGGGGGAACCAGACTTTCTGATGTGCCAGAAAGTGTGCAGAGCCCCCCTGCTCCTGCCTGGAGGGTGACCCACAAGGAACAGCAGCCCCCTCCCCGACAACCATGGAAGATGCATGAAAATGGGCCCCCAGGAAGCACGTCTGTCGGAACCCCCATCTGAAGGGGACCGTAACAAAATCAGTGAACGGGCAGCTTCTCTTCCTGGACTGTGACTTCGAGTTGGCACATCAGAGTAACGTCGTGTGTCCGTCCTTTTTCCTGCCAGGTCTCCAACATCAAGTCCAAGATTGCTGCCTTGCAGGCTGCAGGGCTCTCGGTGAAGCCGTCGGGAAAGCCCCAGAGGAAATCCAACCTCCCGGTGAGTGCAGGGGCCCTGGCACCCAACTTTGTGCCCAGAGCCCCGGCCACCCCGGCCCCCTAGCCGCTGTCCCCCCCACACCCCGGGGCCTGAAACCAAGAGGCCAGCTGGCCGCCTCCCTTCCAGCCCCACCAGCCTGGCTGGATGTGACTGGAACAGATTCTCCAGGGATGGCAGGGAGGGGGCTGCCCCCCCCAGCCCCGCTGCAGGTCTGGGACCAACACCCTTCTCCCCAGAGTCAAGCTGGGGTCCCCAGGCCGGTCACACCAGTGGGGTAACCTGGCAGCCGAACACAGGGTGGTCCCAGGAGAGCCCCAGGTCCGGCTGCAGGTGATATACAGGATGCTCAGTACATTTGAACTTCAGATAAATGACACATCATTTTCAAGCACTACTTGGAACATACTTAAAAACAAACCTTATTCGTTGTTTATCTGAACTTCAAAGCTAACTGGCTACTCTGTGTGTTACTTTGCTGAACCTGGTGCGCTGGGGGCTGACGGGCCGTCCCTGAGCGCCTGGCCCCCTGTTCAGGGAGAAGGGCCATCCCTCTGTCCCGCCGGCCCCCCTGTGACAGGGGTCAAACAAGCAGCCATCAGGTACAGGCTTTTTCCTTGTCCTCCAGATATTTCTTCCCCGACTTGCTGGGAGATTGGACCAGAGTCCTAAGGATCTGAATGCAGACCCTGCGGAGGAGGTATGGGTCGTCCCAAGAGAGTGGGGCGGCTCTTCCAGCAGTGGGACGAGCCCGGGTGGTAGTGGGCTGACCCGTACGGACCGTGTGAGCTCTGCCAGCCCCACAGGACGGTGTCCTCAGAGGCGCATGCTGGGACAGGGTTGGCATCAGACTGTGGGGGAAACCCAGGAAAACCCAGCTGGGGAGCGGGAAGGTGGATCACAAAGGGAAGGAGAAGCAAGCCTCCCACCTCGGCAAACCCCACTCAGGGTATGTTTGGCTCAAAGGGACCCATGGGGCGTTGTCCTGCGTGGGGGCAAGGAGGCCGCGTGCACCCCTGCACACCCGTCACTCATGGACGCCGTCCATTCCGGGCTCTCCCCGGCCCTGCGCAGGCAGGCGGGCTCCAGCAGCCTGGGGACAGGCCCCATCTGGGAGATGCAGGTGCCAGCTCTAGCAGTGGATGCATCAGGAGCCAGGGCGCGTGCAGTGGCACGGGGACCAGGGGTGTGGGAGACGGTGGCCCCATTCACAGCGTGCAGGGGAGGCGCCGGCCAGGAGGGAGCCCAGTCTCCAAGGTGCAGGCGGTGCGGTTAGGGGTTCCGTGGGAGGCGCCATCCCCGGTGCCCCAGAAAGAGTGGCGTCTATATTCCCAGTTCTGCCTGCTGCCTGATGCCACCAGGAGCCATAGCGAACACGCGGTCACGTGTGTATCGTGACAAGGACGCTGGGTAGCTCTTTACAGGTAAAAACAGTGCTTTTCCCGCCCTTCCATTTGAGGTTCACAAACCTGATGAGGAGGCATTGGGATTAAGCCTGTTGTCCCGATGAGGCAACCCAAGCTCAGGGAGGTTGACGTACTTGATTGAGATCACACAGACCATAAGGGACGGAGGGGTCTCAGCCCAGGCCCCCTGGCCCTGACCTCCCACCCTCTCCTGGGGGCCACGGTGCTTCCTAACTGGCTCAGGGAAGCTCAGCCTCCAGGGGCAGCCCACAAAACCAGCCAGGCAGAATCTCGGGGGCCGGACGTTGGGAAGATTTCCAGGGGGGTCAGGCCACCTGCTCGTGCCCGGAGAGGCAAAACGGGGAGGGGATGATGCCATCGCGGAGAGGCTGTCAACGGGAGAGTGAAGGGAAGGCATGGGGACCAACAGCCATGGGAGCTGGGGACATGTGAGGAGCAGGTAGGCTCCCAGTAATCCTGAGAAGGGGCTAGTGGCCCCTTTTCCAGACGAGTTCAGAGAGGACACACAGTCGTCCACGTCACAGGGGTGGGTGGGGGGTACCTGGATTTGAACCCGGGTCTGCGGGGCTGAGATGCGTGCTCTCCCTGCCCTCCCACCCACCGGTGACAAACGTAAGCATCTCTTTTATGCTCTGGCATTTGGTGCTTCATTTATTGATACCATGTATTTTAATATTGACAAAAGTTCCGACAAAGAACAGAAGACAGCTGGCCGGATTCACTAGAATCTGGAAGAACCCTAAGAAGTCCCAATTTAGCTCCCAGTGTTGCTAAGGATTACAGTAATTCAGTGAAGCCCTGAGATGTCTTCTTTCTTCTAGGTGATGACAGCGCCCTATCTTCTCAGAAGGAAATTCAGTAATTCCCCGAAAAGTCAAGGTAAGAGTTAGTGACTTCTCTCAACCCCGAGGGCCTGGGAGATGAGCTCGAGGGTGTGAAAGTGGCCAGTGGGTGTTCTGCATTTCTGTGTAATCTCTGGGACACAGCATCTCATGCCCCCGGGGCCTGAAGGACAACTCCCCAAACCGCTCCTGCCAGGAAGCATTCCAGTGGGTTGGTGTTCTGGAACCCGCCTGGTTGAGCACGCAATAGGGATGGTGCTGGTGTTTTCCACGTTTTGCATTGTAAACTGCTCTAAGGCTTAAGCAGCTCCCAACCTTCTCATGCAAAGCACAGAACGTAACTTTAGCTTCCCTTGATGTCTCAGTGGCGACAAAGACATCAACTTTGCTCCGCAAACAGGGTGAAAGGCCTGGCTTCCTCATCCACAGTGTACGGCCAGGCTGTCGGGGAATCGTGTCTTGCTCCCCTTGCAGCCCGACCGAGGATCACAGAGGGAAGCAGCCCCTTTCCCGGGTCAGGATCCAGTCCCTCTGCTGCTGTGTCAGGCCTCTGAGCCACCGTGGCATCTCCTCTTGTCCCTGCATCTGAGCTCTGCCCTCACCACCCACAGCCACGGTCCCAGCACGCAGCGCTATGTTCCTCTTCTGCTCCCAAATAATCGTTGGCTCCCACCTGCCTGCAGAATGAGTGGGATTTCTTAGCACAGCCTTCCAGACCCTCACTTTCTGCCCCACACGGGACCCCTGGGTGAACAACACACACCTCATAGGCACATGGGGCTGTCGAGCGCTCTGTGCACACACACCCCCGTACCTTTGCCTGGGCCGGGCCTTCTGCCCCGAGTGCTCTTCACTCCCTTTCCTACCCGCCTCTGCCTTCTGAAGGCCAAGTGCAGCATCCCCTTCCAGGAGGTTCTCCACCACCTCCAGAACATTCTCCACCACCTCCTCAGGGGACATCTTTGCACACCCCTGTTTGCACCCAGCTCCCCTCCGTGCAGCTTCCTCTTTGCACCCCAGAGCTCCCCGTACCCGGGCAGGTCAGGCCAGAGACAGAGTTGGTCCCAAGGCCCTTTGAGGCGAATCCCTGACTCAGGGCCACGAGCAGGGTGACGGACTTTGTCAGCGAGGCCACCTGCCGCGGGGCTGGGAGGAGGCTCCGGGCGCACGTACACCAGCGCTGGGGGGAGCTTCCAGCAGGCCCCATGGCTACCACCCAGGTGAAGGTTCACGGTTACAGCGGGGGGCCACGGGGTGAGCGCCTGTGTCAGTCAGAGGCCTCTCACCTGGTCCCGGGCCTCCTGGAGCGGCGGGCTGTCCAGGGGCTAAACGGCCCAGCTGCAGCTGCTGGTCCCCACACGCCTCTCCAGTCACCACGGCCAGCCTCGGCGGGGTGGCTTCTCACCCGTGTGCCAGACGTCCATCCCCACACAGGAAGGGTTCACTGCCCCGTAGCTGGGATCGCTGGGTTAGCAGCGCCCTCCACGGAGTTTAGGAGCAGGAACGGGGGCAAAGCCCGGCAACTCGTCCTCTGCCCACAATGGAACCCTGAGCTCATTCGCCAGCCCCACTGCCAGAACGTGACACTCAGCCCTACTGTGTAGCCTCTGCCAATTTCCATGCTGTAAACACTCTGCCGTGGCTGATGTCAAGCTGCCACCTTGATGTCAAGGGACACAGGGCTGGGCAGAAGAGACGTGGCCCAGCACCCCCCCCAAGGAGCAGGTGCATGTCAGGCAGGGCCCCCACCACACCTGCCAGAGGAGGAAGACCCCCGAGATTTGCTCACTTGTGCCCATGAACACAAACGGTTGACTAGGATGTGAGACCAAATGCCGCAGCTTTAAACCGAAGCCCTGGGTGGGGGGACCCTCTTCTGAGGGGCAGGGTCCCCAGACCCCCCAGGCCCATGGCACTTCAAGAATTAAAGGAAATGCAATGGTGTGTTGTGTTTTGCCCGAGGGAGCATTTCTGGAGCCGCGAGATAGGATTTTAATGCTTGCTCCAAGGCAAGGGAGAAAGAAGTGTGTTTGCACAGTTGCTGACACGCTTCTGTGCCCCTGAAGGTAAAGACGGGGCCTTCTTTGGTCGGCAGTCGGTGTACCACGGATCCCTGACGCAGAGAAACCCCAACAGCAGGAAAGGGGTGGCCAACCACAGCTTTGCGGTAAGCTTGTCTCTTCCCTCCTGTGGCAGCTTGGAAGCTCCCTGACCTGTCAGATTTACATGTTGGTGTTAAGACTCCAGAGCAGAGAAAATGGGGATAAACTAACAAGTGAAATCAGCAAAAGATTTATAGAAAAATTGAGACCATTTCTTAAAGGTACCAGAATATACCAGTGATAGGGGTCCCCGCTTACCCTGGGGTGGGTCTCGGCTTGGGGAAGGGGACCATCAAGACACAGAGAGGACACTCGGGGGAGGGGACCGTCCACGAAACAGTGAAGATGTTCAGGGGAGGGGACCGCCCACGAGACAGTGAGGACACCCGGAGGAGGGGACCATCCACAAGAGAGAGACAGGACACTCTCCTCACAGCCCCAGCAGCTCACGAGTGCTGTAAAGGTCATTCAGCAAACCGCATGTGCAGATGCTGGGGTCAAGGCTGTCCCCCAGGTTCTGTGGGAGAGAGCGTTCTGCAGAATGCCCCATCCTGGCACCCCCTCTCGAGAGCCGGTGAAAGCACCCGCTCCCCCCGCATGGGCACTGCCTGCCCGAGGCAACCCCAGCAGCTCCTCGCAGACATGGCTCCGTGACTGCTCAGAAGAGCCCATCTCTTAGGACCTCAAGGTCACGCCCACAGCCTGGGGATGGGCATGACAACTCGGTGCTGGTGGCCATGGTCAAGGCCCAAACCCCCGCGACCCCGGTGGCTCTCCACTCGCACTTCCTGCCGGCGCTTTATTCTCTCCGTGAACTCCATTCTAAAAAAGGGTTTCCAAGCATCTCACGCCAGGGATGCACAACTACAGGGAAAAGGCTGATCCTAACTGTGTGAGCTTATGCCAGCCGACAGGGAGGTGGGTGACACCGCCATCATTTGGCTGCCCCAACAAGGGGACGAGGGGACGTGTGTAGGGGGAGATGGCACAGAGTAGAGGTGCCCGTGAGCCCACCTTAACCAGAAGGTATCGGGACTGTGGCCAGGGCAGGGCCATCCCAGACAGAGGGCTGATGACCACTAATAAGAAACTGGCCAACAGGGACTTGAGAATCTAAATGCTTTCAGGTTAGGATACAGTTCCTCGTGTTTCAGAGCCTTACATTTTCGGATACTGTCCATCCGTGCACCCCCTCTGATGAGGGGCCAGTGCCGCTAACCCAGCTGGGGGAGCAGGGACAGAGACGCTGTGCAGAAACCACACAGGGATTGACCGGCACCTTCTGATCAACGTGTTTGTGTGTCTGCGTGTTGCTGTGTGCACTCCTGTGTGTGTGTGTGCACGCTTGTATGTGTGTGTGTGTGCCCATGTGTCTGTGCATGTGTGCACTCTGTACATGCTTGTATATCTGTGTTGTGTGCCCACGTGTGTTTCTGTGCGTGTGTGCACGCTCATATGTCTGTGTGTGCCCACGTCTGTGTGTGCACTCTGTGTGTGTGCATGCCCATGTTTATGTGCGTGCCCACATGTGTCTCTGTGCATGTGTGCACTGTGTGTGTGCGTGCTTGTATGTCTGTGTGTGCGTGCACACATGGGCCTCTGCGTGTGTGCACTGTGCATGCACACGTGTGTCTGTGCGTGTGTGCGCGCTTGTATGTGTGTGCGTGCACACGTCTCTGTGTGCACTCTGTGTGCGCGCTTGTATGTGTGTGCGTGCACACGTCTCTGTGATTGTGTGCATTCTGTGTGTGTGCACGCTTGTATGTGTGCGTGCCCACATGTGTCTCTGTGCATGTCTACATGCCTGTGCGTGTGCACACTCCTGTGACTGTGTTATGTGCCCACGTGTGCCTGTGCATGTGTGCACGCTCGTGTGTGTGTGCACAGGTATGTCTCTGCGCATGTGTCTGTGTGCACACCCATCTGCGCACAACTGTGTGTGTGTGTATTTGTGCTCCACAGAAACCCGTGATGACCCACCAGCCCTAAAGGGGGAGCTTTGTGGGAACAGGACGGAGTGACCCAGGGGCCCCAGCCCTCTCTCCCTCCGCCTCACGTCCCGTCCCTCCGTCCGCCCCGCGCTCTGGGCTGTACACAGTCCGGGGAGAGACAGGACGCAGCACCGTCCACCAGGGACCCCCACCAGCGAGGGACCAGCGTTCTCAGACCCTCGGCTCCTCACGCACGTTCACAGACGACCTCCACCCCCACCCCTGCCGGCCCGCTCTGATCCGTGAGAAACATCTAAGCTGACCTGGTTTTCCTTTAGGACGGCGTTAAACTCTGAAGGACACAAAGAACAACACTTTCAGTGTGATCTTTTAGCCCTTTCCCTGCTGGCTCCGTGCAGCACCTGCTCTGTGTGTATTCCACGCGGTGTCAGAGTGCCTGTGTGCGTGGGCGTGTGTGCACGTGTGTGCGCGTGCATGTGCCTGTGTGTGCACGCATGTGCTGTCGGACAAGGAAATCCGGCATCCAGACGAGTGATTGAACTCATGGCCAGCTGACCCCCCGACCCCCTCGCAGCTACTCTGTGGGTTCACCTGTAGCTCACAGCCCGGGAGGAATTCCACTGTGGTCAAGGGCAGAGCGAGCACGTGGCGGCAGGTGAGCCTCGGGTCGATGCCCAGGCGCAGGCGTGGAGGGCCTGTGGGAGAGGCGGATGCTGGAGCCCAGGACATGCAGGCAGGAGGGTGGGGTCCGGCCTGGTGCTGCCGCTGCTGTGGTGCCATCCAGCGGGACAGGGGGCCAGGACCAAGCAGGGATGCCTGCTGGGCACCTGCCGTCTGTGCTGTGGGTGAGCTCCAAGTCCCTCCACCTGGGACAGTCTGGGATTCACGGTTACTTCTGGGTGTCTGTGTGGCTCATCCGGTTTTCAGGGGAGCCCGCTGGGACCCTCGGGGCCGCCTTGGAACAAGTAACTGTAATTGCACCCCCTCCCCAACTGAGCACTGTTACATGCTTCACAGGGACTCACATGTTTAATCCTTGGATTAAGTTTAAGCCCATTTTGTAGAGGAGGACACTGAGCCCCGAGTGTGAGGCAGCCTCCCCTGGAGCGAGAAGCTACCAGGTGATCCTGATACTTTCTAAAGTGACCTTGGGTCAGCTGTAACTTTTCTCTCTTAAACTGCTTGGTGTTTGTGGGCAAATGAACTGGGAACCAAAAGCAGATGGAGAAGTGGTGCCCGGGAGCCTAAGGGGGCGAGCCCATCTCCCCCCGACGGTGGACAGAGCCCCACCGCACCACCACACAGACCCTGGACCGCGAGCTTTGCGACCCGGGAACCTTGAGAGGCCTGTCAGTTTGGGGGACCCCATCCGAGGCAGGCCTCTTTTCTCCAAAGCGCGTGCTCCTGCTTCCCCCCAAGGACACCTGCCCGTGGTCTAGGCCTGAGCCTGCGAGTCTGGCCGCATCCATGAGCTTCCTTGTTGTCTGGGGGTTGTCTTTGTGCTGCAACAACACATTTGAGTATTTACCATCCGACCCCTTACGGGAGGGGTTGCCGACTCCCTGACTCCTGCAGCAGGGCTGGCCAGGGCAAGGGCTGCACACCAGCTTCTCTCGAGTCTGCCCTCCCACCAGCCACACACACACTCCCCCCCCCGCCCCGCGCTCTCCGCCACCCTCCGCCCCTGCACTACCCACCCGCCACGTGTTCAGAGAGCGGCGCGTCGCCCTGCGTTAGCACAGTCTTGGCAAACACTGAAGACGTTACAGCTTGGAGCAGGGGATGGCAGCCCGCCCCGATCGCCATGGGCCCTGTGGCTGCTCTAACCAGGGATCACAGTCTGGGCTGCTTCCCACCGGAAACTGACCCTCCCACTGTGCTGGAGGCCGGGAGTCCAGAATCAGCAGGTCAGCAGGGCCCAGCTCCCTGCAGGAGCTCCAGGGCAGACTCCCTTCTCTGCCCCTTCCGCCGCGGGGCCTCCCGCAGTCCTGAGCCTGTGGCTGCGTCACTGCAGGCGGCGGCCCCGCCCTCACATGGCCCTGTGTCCATCTCAGGTCTCTCTCATGAGGATGCTTGTCATTGGCTTTAGGACCCATCTCGATTATCCAGGCTGATCTTCTCATCGGGAGATCTTTACCCTAACTACATGTGCAAGGACCCTTTCCCCAAAGGAGTCCACATTCACAGGGTCCAGGAGCGAGGGTGACAGTTTGGGGAGCCGCCATTCAGCCCACTCTAGCTAAGTTGGCAAACCTCATCTGCTGACAGAGTGGAACCCGCCCCCCCAGAGGAGCCGGCAGAAGGGGCGCTGCACACTCACGGGGGAGCGGCCTCGCCCCCAGCCGCCCAGGGAGCCCTGGGCCCAGGCACACGCTTCACTTCTGAGCGCAGCACGGGCAACGGGCCTCCCTCCCTGCTCCACCCCGCTGCCCACCGCACAGCTAGCTGCCCCCCGTCCTCCCGGCCCCCGCCTCCATGGACACTCCCTGGTGCCTGTCCTTACTTCACCTAGGAGCAGATGTAGCGCCCCCGGCCCCATCAAGGCCAGAGGACCCATTTTGTGCAAGTAAACCTCCAGTTCCGCCAGTTCAGTTCGGGGAAGGGAGACGGGGGAGGGGGAGAGGGGTGACCGGGCGCAGAGTGGCCACAGCCAGACGCCCCAGGGCCCAGCCTGCGCTGACACAGCAGAAAGCTTCAGGAACAACGGCTGTGCGTGTGACCTCACCAAGCAATAACTCGGGCCTGAGCACAAGACAACCCCACACCTGTGGGCTCCCCGTGGCTATAATGGTTAAGCCCCCAAAGCGCCCACTCCGTGCCAGCCTTTCCAGGGCTAACACTACTCCTCACAGCCCAGACAGAGCCCTGAGGCTGCATCCCTGGCTCTGGGGTGGGCTTCCTTGGGAATCAAACAGGCAGCAGAGACAAGAGTTGGCCTGGTCCCCAAGGGGTGACCAGGGGAAGAGTTTCCTGCCCCCTCTGAGTGGGACTTTCCCCACGCTGTGCTCCATCCAGTCTCTCACTCAGAGCCAAGGTTCGAGTCCTGCTGGGAGGCCGGTACCCTGCATCTTCAGGAGATATGGGAGCCTGTGCCAACAGCTCCCCATGGCCTCAAATAAGAGGTGATTTTTTTTCATATTTAATTCCCCAAGCTATCTATAAATTCCAGTATTTGGAAGAATTCTCCTGAGTCTCTTTTTCTAGCAGATGGTCATTCCTGAGACATCCTTCCTGGAAGCTGAATACAGACGGGGCAGGGACCAGTGACCCTGGCACTCACTTGCTTCTAACCAAGAGCAAGAGAAGTCGGTGGTTTTTGTTATGACTCCGGGTGGATATTAGAGTTAGCATTTAAAATGTCTCCAGAGTTGGGACACCTGGGTGGCTCAGTCGGTTGGGCATATGACTCTGGATTTCAGCTCAGGTCATGATCTCAGGGTTGTGGGATTGAGCCCCTCATCGGGCTCCATGCTGAGTGCGGAGCCTGCTTAGGATTCTCTCCCTCCCTCTGCCCCTCCCCACCCCCGCTCACTCGCTCTCTTTAAAAAAAAAAAAAAAAAAATTAAAATTTCTCCAGAGTTGTATTCTCCAACAGTCTTCTTTATCAGGGAAAAGAGGAAAAGCTTCATGAGGAGCTGAATGCATGGGTCTCCCGAAGATCCCTCAGAGTTTCAAGTGAGTCTGGAGCGGGCAGCAGGCGGCCCTCTGCTCAGATCACCTTGCATCTGACACGTTGCGGTCCAGGCCCAGACACCCACAGCACGCCCGGCTCCCAGCAGATGGCTGGGGAAGTACGCAGCCTCCCAGGAGGTCCCCAGCGCATCAGGCCTCAAGCCAACCCCGGCTCAGGGTTCTTCCACCGCAGTGATATAGTGAGCCACGATTTCTGTAGGTCTCGGCAGCATGGTGTGGAAGCGCCCACTTCACAGGGGGCCAGATAACCCACCCCGAAAACAGGATGGGATTCTTGTGTGCTTGCTTTCTGATCCCCAGGTGCCTGGCATCCAGCACGCGGGCCAGCCAAGTGAACTTTACGCGTGCCCATGAAACTCACAGCACCAAAGTTGCTTTTGCACAGAATTATTATGACCTATGGGCTGTCTTTGTGTTTTGTTGGGAAGAAAATAGAAAATGTGGACAAGCTAAGGCGACAAGAACAGTCAGCATCATCTCCCAACCAGCAAGCCTGTCCATCGCTCCGGACATCCCTCCGTATATTCGCTTCCAACTTAAAACTCCTGCAGGTGCATTCCCTGGCATGGAGGTGAAACCCACTCCGGATGTTGCCCCCACAGCTATGGCTTCTCAGGAAGGAGCCGGCCCTGGAAAGTAGGGTTTTACCCTCTCTTGCTGCCGAAATTCCCCTGCAGACGCCTCCAGCGAAGTCTGCCCAGAGACAGCCTCGCAGGTAGCTAAACAAGCCAAGTCCCCTCAGACCGCCCAAGTACTTCCACACCTGCAGCTCAGCAGTGCCCGGGCTCAGAACCCCAAGGCAAGGGTCATGCTGGAGAAAGTAGCATTTGACTACATCCCTGCAACCCCTTATAACAGTCTGTGATGATCAACTTTATGTATCAGCTTGGCTAGGTCATGGTGCCCTCACGTTTGACCAAACACCAGTCTAGATGTTGCTGTGACAATAGTTTTTAGGTGTGATTAACAACTACGGTTAGCAGCCTTTGAGTAAAGCAGATTCTCCTCTGTAATGTGGGTGGGCCTCGTCCAATCAGGTGAAGGCCTTAAGCGAGAAAGGTCTCCCAAGAGGGAATTCTGTCCCAGGACTGCCTTCCAACTCCAGCTGCAACATCATCTCTTCCCTGGGTCCCCAGCCTGTCATCTTGCCTTGTAGATTTCAGACTTGCCAGCCCCACAATCCCATGAGCCAGTTCCTTAAATCTCTACACACACACACACAGACACACACACACTATTGGTGCCCTTTCTCTGGAGAAAACTGACTCATGCACAGTTCCCATTAGCTGTGTCTAATATTTCCCACACTGAAAACTCAGAAACCAGTTGGGTGGGAGTCACTGC